TTACCTCTAGCCTCTATAATTACAAAAGAGGCTCAAAGTGGTGGCCATTAGCTTCTAGACACTTGTTAATACAGCAAACTCCTGCTTGGGTAACCTTGGTCCATTGAGATTGCTGCACATGTATTTTCAATTTCTTCTCTAAGGGCTGGCAGTTTTTCTGCAATATACAACATTCTCTAGGGTCCCTCATATGAGGGTAACACCATGTTGCAAAAACATCATGCTATTTTTCTTTTCCTAAAGTGTACACACATTTTTTGGCAGAGAGAGAGAGAAAGAGAGCATCAATAGAAGGTATAGATATACATGTTAGGAGGAAGACAAAATATTAGTGCTAAATTTTCAACATTCATTGAAAAACTCAAAAGAAAATGTCTAAAATTGATAAAACAAAGAAAAACGAGCTTATTACTTAGAAATAAATGTGGAGATTAAGTGCTAGAGAAATAGCTAAAAGAGATAAAAACAGATGCTTCTTGGAGTCAGGAACTTGGGAAGTAGTGGTAGAACAAAAGACTTCTACTTTATTATTAGCCTTGTAGTACTTTGACTTTTCTAATAACTTAATGCATTGTTTTGACAAAAAAATAGAAAATATTTTTAAAGTGTAATAAAAAAGTGAACAGGAAATTATTTCAAACAGTTATATAATAAGATTAGTTTTCTTAACATATTTTGGAAAGTAGAAGAAAATGTTCAAATGGAAAGGGAAGCAAGGGAAGGGAGGGGAAAAGGAAGGAAGGAAAAAAGAGAATAGAAGGAAAAATTGGAAACAAAGCTTTTGTAAATAAGGAGGGGAAGAAGGGTTGAAGGGAGGGGATGAGAATGAGAAAAAAAGGAAGAACCAAGATACATTATGTACAGGTATAAATTCCCTGTGATGAATGTAATAAAAAACGTATAGAAAAAAGTACCAAAAATTAATTTTAAAAATAAGAAAACTCACAAACTGATACATAGGAAAGGAATTTTTTAAAAGTTTCTTTAATCAATAAAAAGACTAACAAGCCAATTTAAAATGAACAAAGGACATAAAAAGACAGCTTACAGAAAAAGAAAAGAGATTGACAACTATTCAAAAATATACTCAATACTGATAGTCACAAAATTCACACTAAAACGTCCAAATACATTTTTACAAACCGAATTGGCAGACAGATTCGAATCATTTTGATAATATACAAGAATGTGAAAAAATAATAACTGTCATACCCTGAATCAACCTACATGAAAAACACTTTGACATTTTCTGTGATGTGCACCAAACAGATGTACAAAATGATCAGAGTAGCATTCTTTGTAATTAAAAGTAATAGAAAACAACCCAAATGAACTTCAACTCAGAACCAGCTAGATTAATTGTGGTACTTGTAAGCAATGGAATGCTATGCAGCAATCAGAGGGAATGAGGAACTTCTTTCTGTAGTAGTTGAGTGTTAGGGCCTTTTGATAAGTGTTTAGGTCAAGAGGGCTCTGTCCTTATATGAACGGATTAATTGCCCTAGAAAGGGCTTGCAGAAGTGGGTTCCTAGTCTTCTGCCATATGAGAATGCAGCAAGAAGGTCCTCCCTGATTGCCATATGTTGATTTTGGACTGCTGAATTACATTCCATCTTCATTTATTCACTTACTTATTTATTTACTTATTTATTTTTTAAGTCACTAAATTGCTCAAGCTGGTCTCAAACTTGAAAATCTTCCTGCCTTAACCTCCCAGAGTACTGGGATTACAGGCGTGTGTTACTGCACCTGGCTAATTTCTATTTCTTATAAATTATCCAATCTTGAATATTGTGTTATAACAGCACAAAACATAGATGTATTTTATCTTTTGAATAAAAAAGCAAGAAGTAAAATGTATATTCACATTTAATTTTATATGCATAACTCTGGAAATATACACAAGAAATTAATATACTTTCCTGTTTGGCAATAGCAGGAGTGGGAACTGAACATAGGTGAACCAAACTTTTCACTGGATATCTTTGCATATTGCTTGAATTTTGAACTATGCAAATACACTAGTGCAATAAAATAAGAGTAGATGAATAAATAAAACTAAAGTAGTTCATATGTTCTGACTTGGAAATATTTATATGACAAACTAGGTAAAAATGTCAAATATTCCTTTAGTCTTATGGAAAGAAAGGTTACTGGGAAGCAGTTCTCATTGAATGTGATTGCCAAGGACACTCAAGGTTTCCTTGAAGGAGAAGCAGGGACAGAGTCCTTGGGAAGAGGTGGTTTGGTTTGATCCCTGCCAGCTCACTATCTCCTCTTAACCATTGGTTGGATAGTGGAGGGAGGCTGGGAGTGAGGCAGGAGACTAGGGCATGCCAAACCAGAGGAAGTGTCCTGTTAATCACAAAAATCCAGGCCACATGTGCAAAACACAGTTCCCAAGCTGTGCATCTGGGACCAATCAGAAAGAGCTATCTTCACTTCTTCCAGTGTGAAACCAAGCAGGTTTTTGACAGGATAGCCTAGATATGAGGTCAGCCTGAAGAATGAAGAATACAAAAGACCTCTGCTATTAACCTTGTGATCACTATGAACTCTCTCAGTGGCCCACTCTTACTCTGCAGAGCCGACTTCTTTTCCTACCTTTAATAAATGCAAAACCTCAGTATCTTTTTTGTGTGTCATGTCCAATTCTTTGTTCAGGACACCAAGAATCTGGGAAGAATCTACAAAATTTCAGAATCTAGTAACAGGGGGATAGGAAATTGCAAAGGGCTCCTTCCTGTAACTCCATTGCCAGGAAGTAATGGTTTGTGGCCTGCCCTGCCTTTGGGGAGCAAAAGTGAAGAAGGGGTACAATTCACGTGGAAAACCAAGACAAGGGCCAGCACTGTCTGGTGGCCTGAATGGGACCTGAAGGAACACCTAGGTCTTCCCCTTTGGCCCTCTAGGTAAAGACAAATCTGATTACTCATTCCCAACCTTGATCACTGAAGATTTCCCAGCCTTGAGCACTGAAAACACAGAATTTTTGGAGTTCTGTGTCTGGTACCCCATCTCTGTCCACAAGGAGAACAGACTTTCCTGGCTCAAACGGCCTCATAAGGGTGTCAGGTTGAGAAATGGGTGTCCACAACAGCCCAAACAGGCATGGTGTCGAGGTTGGGGAGCTGAAGAGGTGAGATCCCCAAAGAGAAGAAGCCACATGGGGAAGACATTAGCAAAAAGCAGCAATAAAGTTCTTTATTGCATGGCACTTATAGTGGCCATTATCACCTACTGAGGCATACTGAAAAACACCAGCTGTGTGTCCTTGCATGACCATACTGCACATGCATGGTTGATTTATGGTTACATAAGGAGGCCTATCATTTACCTGTGCTAACAATGGGGTCATGTCTTCCAGGAGTCCTCAGATGCCCAGGCTTTGACTGACATAACTCACAACACCTCCCACATATGTTCATGGTCATTACTAACACTTGTTCCTGATGCGTGGCTCTCCCAGGTCCAGGGGGCACTTGCAGAATGTGGGGATGGGAGGGAGCAATACAAGATTTACCCTTCCTTTGCCCCGTATCTTCAGCCGTACTTCAGTGGGTATTGGAATCACCTGAGGAACTAACAGGGCACATAAAGACCTGAGATAGTAGCACAGAGCCTGCCCTTCGTGTTTTCACACAGTTGACTGGATGATTCTGACAGGAGCAAAGTTGGAGAACTATTGCAATAGAATGATTTCAAAGATTATCCAAATTAATCCTCAATAATGTCTGGAGAGATAAATATTATTCTCCTTCATAAAAAAATCAGACTCAGTAAGGCCAGAGAGAAGTGTTTCTAAATTCAAATTCACCATCTTTTTACTAGCTATGCCTTCTGTGGGAGGCAGCTACCCTTTCTGAACCTCATTTCACCATCTTTAAAGTGAGAATTCAAAGACATTCCCTCCCTCGAAGGGCCAGGACAAGTGTTCTACAGACACAACAGAAGGTCACAATTGTCATTCTAACCATGAGTCAAACCAGGTATTAGAAACATAACACTATATAATAAAAGTTTTTGAATGGACACATCTTCATTGATTTTAGCCCATCAGGTGGCATTTGATAAATGGTGGGAGACTACATAGACCAATATCTTATTGATCAACTCACCAGTGTTTTTATTTAATTTGAAGTTTTGAAAAGAAGAATTGCTGGTAGCTCATAGCATCACTGGCGATCAAAGTCCATCTGCCCTTCAATCCCAAGAATGTGTAGACATTTGGGACTTTCTGCTTCAGAGAGATCTTCCCCTGCTCACACTCAAGCAGTCTTCATTCTATGAGTATATGAATATTCCTCAGCTACCACAAATCCATTCCTCAGCTACTGGCACTGGAGAGAAGGTGGTAAACAAAACAGAGTGGTCTCTAATCGCAAGGAGAGAGAAAGTAAGATTTTGCCTGATCCGGGAAATGTCAGACATTCCTTGGGTCTGGTGGAAGGAAGAGTTAGGGGGTAGCTGTTTCCACTAGGTGGCATTGATTGCCAAGGGCATTCCAAGTATCCCTTAAGGAACAGTGGTTTGGATTGACTCCTGCAGCTCACCACCTCCTCCTGACTGTAAGACAGAGAGAAAGTAAGGGGATTTCCAAGGGCACCTGCCTGTTCCAGAGCAATTTAGTCCCTGGAACCCTAAGAGCAACAAAGATGTATGGCTTCCCTACTCTGTTGCTATGCTTTCTGGGAGTGAAAGTGGAGAAGAAGCACAATGTACAAATGAAAAACTCATACATACATGAAAAACTAAGACAAAAGTCCAGGGCCGCTTGGTGCCTGAAGGAATTCTTAGGTCCCCTTCCTCAGGGTCCTCTAGGTAAAGACAAATCTGATGAAGTTTCTAGTGCCCAGTGAACATATACTCCTGGGTTTGGTGTGAGGCATTGCCTAAGGGAGAGTGGAAAGGATGACACTCTGCTGAGAAGCTCTGGAGCATCCAGCAGAGGGCCCTTGCCTAGCAAGGGAACTCCTTGACTTTCAGAGGAAGGAGACAGCAAGATGGAGCTGGGCAGGCCTGGGCAGGCCTCTGGGGAGAGGATACCTGGCTGTAGGGAGTCAGCCCGGGAGCCCAGCTGCTGGCGGACTGAAGGCATCCCTGGGGACCTTTGCTGAGCTCACTCTTAGCTGACTGATCTCAGACTCAAGCTTCAGCAAGATTCACATCTACCCTTTTTCTTGTGGTCTCCAGAAAAGTCTTGCAACTTGGATTGGTTCGTTGTAGCTGTCACCCGAGGTATTTTGCACAGACTTAGGTAAGTAAATCAGAAATACAGTCACTCGGGTATGTGGTTTGTTACTATGAGTGAACAAAGTTGGGTGTCCTGGGACAGAACTTTTGAAGCTGGGACTCGGCTGCTGATTTTAAGATAGGAGTCTTCCTTGAATGGAAGGCTGGTGAACATTACTGGCTGAGTTGTTGAGTGGGCATTGCTTTTCCTTATCTGCTATCTCCTACTTTCCCCTTTCCTCCTGGCAACGCCCTGATCCCATATATACACAGATCAGGGATGGAAAAGCATTCCAATGCTGTTTTTTTGTTTGTTTGTTTGTATTTTGGAGAGGTTTTTTTAGTTTTTGTTTTGTGCGGTATTTTTGAGATAGGGTCTTGCTATGTAGTTCAGGCTGGCCTTGAACTCACTATGCAGCCCAGGCTGGCCTTATTTGCAGCAGTCCTCCTGCCTCAGCCTCCTGAGTGCTAGGATTACAGGTGTACCCCACCACACCCAGTTGCCAATGCTATTTTTTGAAGGACTGTGGCAAGTCAAACATTTGCTAGGAGCTTGAGCTACAACCCCATATACTGGGACGAGGAGATGGAAAGAAGTTAGGCTAACAGGACAGAGGTCCTGAATAGTTAAGTAAAGTTTAAGTAAACTGAAGGTTAAGTAACTGAAGGTCTGGACTTGGGGCTTGGATGAGTTAAAATGTAAAGGACCCGAAGAGCTTACCTGAGTAAACTAAAAACAGCCTTGGAGGAATAAAATATAAACAAGACAGCCTGCTTTCTGGACACTAAAGGCCCAGAACACAAAGCAGCCTCCCTGTATTCTGTCACATAGACCTATAACAAAGATGGTATAAAAGACCCTGGACTTAAACACCCATGGTTTTTCCACTATTTGGAATCCCCTCACCGACAGTGGGGAGACTTCCTTTTTATTTTTCCTAACAAGCACACACCTAGTCATTCCCCATTAGTTGATTGCTATTTTGCCACTTCCTTCTGTGTCACTTTAGAACAATGACCCTAAAGGGAGCTCCTTACATCTTTGGCACACAATGTGGGGCACTAACCTTCTCTATGGAGATGTAAATGTGATGGAATGGCCAGAACCACCCCCCCCACACACACACACCTCTTTTCTCTTAGAGTAGCTGCCACTCTTGTAGCAACACCCAGTTAATCACCCACTGAAACCAGTGGGAATGTTAGCCAGACAGGAAGCTGGATTCCCTGACTGGATAAGACAGGTCTCCACTCATTTATTATCTCCACCTGCCCTCCTCCATGAGCTGAGAAGTAAACTTTCTTGGTAATCTCCAAATTCACTCTTTCCCAGAGTAACCTGAGACAACATTGTCAGAGACCTCTCTCCATCCTCCATTAAGAGTTAAGCTACAGGTTCAGACTTTTCTCTCTCCACTAGTACAACAGACCCCCCTCTTCAGATATGTCCTGGTAAATTTACTGGGCCAGGAACAGGTTAACAAAATAACCCCCTAGATTCCCTGAAAAACATGTTAGGACAAAGGTTGGAGTTCAAAAACAGTTTCCCCAGGCCCTTTATCATTCCAACTAACAGGGAGTTAGCTTTGGAACTCACTGGCTTCCTTCAAACTCCAGCCTATTTTTCTAAACAAAAGCCACTTGGCAACACCTCCTCTCTCCCCAAGAGGTTGGGCTAAGGAATATCCTTATGAGGACTTTCTGTCAGTCCTCAATCTGTATGGGTTGTGTCTAGATGTCCCCCAAAGCCTCATGTGGTCATAGGTGGCTGGATCTAGAGGATGTACTTTTGGGATTAAGGGTATGTGATTACTAAATTAGTCCAGTAATTGGTGTGGCACCCACCCTAAGCCCAGTAGACTATAAAAGGGGCAGAAAGAAGCTGCTCAGGTCACTTGGACTTGCTGCCTTCTGCCTGCCCTGCTTCACCATTGACTGTGTCTCCTCTGTGATGCCCCTCTGCCATGCCACTCTGCCTGAGAGCCAGACAACTACAGACTGAAGCCTCTACAAACTGTGAGCCAAATAAACCTTTCCTCCTTTTAACCTTTGAGTGTTTGGTATTTTTTTTCAGCAAGGAGAAAACTAACTAAGACACAATCCAAACCCATCTATCCATCAGGCTCTCGGTACACTTTCCCAGATGACGCATTGGCACTGAGTGCGACTAAGACCAACACCCACAGAGAACAGGAATCCACTCTCTTGCCAGTGGGCCAAGAGAGGTGGAAAAAGAGAGGGTAGGATTTAAGGTGGCGCCCTTATCTCACAACCTCTCTTACAAGAATACAGGAACTCAGTACTGCCTTTGTCCCCCCACCAGACCAGGGCAGTTTACTGAACAGATTACTTTAATACAGGGAATATCTTCCAAAAACAGTTCACCTTTAGCACAAGAGAGCAGCTGTTAGAGAAGTGATTTACGCTGGTGCCTTGCATGGAGGACATATGATTATCAAAACAGAAGTTTTCTCTATTAGCTGCGTGAAAAAAACCTTTCAGATCAACAGAGGGCTCTGAGAAGCCTGCAGAGCTATTCCACGATTAAGATAAACCATCAGTCTCATCCTTTTTTAAACAGTCCTTGCTTTCACAGTGTAAAGAGATTTTTCTTTCTCTCTCTCCCTAACTCTCACTGGTGTTAGCTTATTACAAGAGATCTCTGCACTAATTGGTCACCCCTAAAATGTTCCTACTAGTCTATTTATGGTTATGAACCTATAACTAAAACAGATTATTATAACTCAACTTGGCCAATGCTTCTAAGAGTGCACTCTGATCTAAAAGTAATTGTTTTGTGTGTCTGTGTTTGTTCATTTAAACTGATTAAGGTACCTGAAGTTACATTGTTAACTTCAACTTTATTTTCCTTTTATTCTTACTGACTCTTTTTGGCCTTTCATAAAAAAATAGTTGGCCAAGTTTTTTTAAATACCTACGTCCATTTAAAATATCACAGGAGGAAGGTTGAGACTGAAAACTTACATGAGACTTGCAAACAAAAGCCTTAAAGTCTGATAACATAAAGGTTATATATGTATGTATGTGATTTAAATTAATGTTTATGTTTCTATATGTCAATTTTCAAATACGTGTTCTACTTAGGTTTGCTTATAAATAAATAGACACTCATGATATTAGCCCAAATCCTTTTTGGTTCACAAAGTTTAGCAGTGGGCTAATTTGAATCAGTTTATAAAAGTAAAAATGTCTTTAAAGCTGGTGACATGTTTCCTTTCAGATTGTTAGTTAATAAAAATTATACAAAAATTAGTTTCATAAATACAATGTCTATTGTTGTCTGTATACAATAACTTAAGGGTTTTTCTTTGGTCAAAAATAATATATCACTTAAAAGTGTTAACTATGATGATCTGGTTCTCATGCATCATCTAAAATAATTGTTAAGATAACTAAGTGGAGACCCATTGGGCTTAGAAGAGCTACTGGACAAGACACTTCTTGTTAGATAAAAGGACAGCTGCCTAAATCAATTTATCCAGTTTTTATCTACTGATGGGTCTTGGGTAACTTTTCCAGAGATTTACAGTGACATACTCCAACAAACATTATTAAATATATTGTTGTAATATATTTACATCAATTATAGTCAAAAGGTAAGTTTTTTATGTCTAAAACAATAAGGTTTCCTTAAGATATTAGGATGTGGGCTGGGGATTTAGCTCAGTGGTTTCGCTGCTTGCTGCACAAGCACAAGGACCCGAGTTCAATCCCCGGTACCAAAAAAAAAAGATATTAGGATGCTCTTGATTAAATTTTACAAAGCTAAATTTAAAAACAAGAGTTCTAAGAGATCGAAGAGGATATAAAAAAATGGAAAGACATCCCATGTTCCTGGGTAGGAAGAACCAATATAGTGAAAATGGCCATATTTCCATAACTGCTATATAGATTTAATGCAATGCTGATTGAAATTCCAACAATATATTTCACAGAACTAGAGAAAACAATCCAAAAATTCATTTGGAGCAGAGGAGACCTAGAATAGCAAAAGCAATTCTAGGCAACAGAGACATGGCAGGGGCTATCACAATCCCCAAATTGAAACTATACTACAAATCTACTCCGATAAAAACAGCATGGTACTGGCAAAGAAACAGATGCAAGGATCAGTGGAATAGATTAGAAGATGCAGAAACAACTCCAGACATGCTCAGCCACCTCATCTTTGACAAAGGAGCCAACCACCCTCATTGGAGGAAAGATAGCCTATTTAATAAATGGTGTTGAAAAAACTGGATTTTAACCTGCCAGAGATTAAAACTAGACGCATATCTATCACCATACACTAAACTAAGATTGAAGTGGATTAAAGATCTAAATATGAAAACAGAAACACTAAACTTGCTGGAAGATAAGTTAGGTAGAACTCTTGAAAACATTGGCATAGGAAAAGACTTCATGAACAAAACCTCAGTAGCACGGGAACTAGCACAAAGAATCGACAACTGGGATCTCATCTTATTAAAAAGCTTCTGCACTCCAAGAGAAACCACCAGCAGAGCTAAGAGATAACCTACATTGTGGAAAAAAATTTTTAGCAGCTATACCTCAGACAAAGGACTACTATCTAGAATATATAAAGAACTGAAAAAAATAAGACCCCCCAAATTCAAAGACCCAATTCAAAAATGGGCATCTGAAATGAACAGACATTTCTCAGACAAAGAAAAGCAGCAAATAAACATATGAAAAAATGTTCAACATCACTGGTCATTGGAGAGATGCAGATGAAAGAAAGAATGGCTGCTATCAAGAAATCAACCAATAACAAATGCTGGCAGGGGTGTGGGGAGAAAGGAGCCCTTCTCCATTGTTGGTGGGAGTGAAGACTGGTGAAACCACTGTGGAAATCAGTATGGAGATACCTCAAAGAACTAGGGCCAGAGGCCCCATTTGATGAGCTATTTCCCTGCTGGGTATCTTCCCAAAAGAATTAAAAGAATCATACCACAGTGATATATGTACACCCATGTTTATAACACTGTTCATAATAGCTAAAGC